TGAGTGCCCAAATGTCTAGTGGATGAAAAAGTAGTGGGCTCAAAATTTTCCACAAAGCATCTTCAAAAATGTTGGTGTACATCCATGATCCCAGAATACTTTACAATAGCTCTTCCCATGGGATTTGTTTTGGAGGTGAGGAAGAAGAGAGAAAGTGCAGTGAGCCGGAGTCATGTGAGCAACACGAAGCAAAAGTAGTGGTCATCTGGCCGAACGGTCTGTTAACTGAGTTCCCTATATAGTCCCCACGCAGTATATGAGAAGAAAAGAAAGGCCTCAGAAGAGGCAGATATATCCCAGAATGCTTTGCTCAGGGGAGCTCTGCTCACAAAGCATTATGGGATTTGCTGAAACAGTGGCCTGCTTTCGCCATAGGCTGAATTTTAAGAAATTTGGGGCCCTTGGCAAAGACAGGCAGGGGGCCCTCTGAACTGCGAAGACAACATATAAATCAGACCCATTATACAGATACAGAAATTTTAATAGAATAGACATACATTATTTTCTCTACATTTTGTCCCCAGCTGACTTTCCATGCTGTCTCAAAAGGATTGAAAGATTTCTTCCAAACTCTAAGCTCACTTAGCTGATTGCTCTTTCCTGTATTTCCAAAAAGGCGATGGCAAAAGTAAATAACACAGTCCTGTAGACAAGCCATGATCACCTTATCTGTTCTCCATCTTTCATTTGGATGAAATAATAGCTGCATGAATCATGACAGCAGACAAGATAGAGGAGAGCAGGAGGCGGGGTTACTAATCTACTTGCTCTGGATATATATGTATATATATTATATGTTGTCGCCAAAGTTTCCAGTAGCAAAAAGTTGTTAGATTTGGCGCTAGGACTTTTTTTTTTATAAAAGTGCTAGACAGGCCTGAAAAGTCACTAAATATAGTGACAAAAGTGCTACATTGGCAACATTGCTCTTAGCATCATTAGTTTTCAAATGGTTTGTGAACATGTGCAGCAAATAGACTGATCCAATGTGGTTGGCACTGAAGGCGGGCTAAGACACACTTGAAATTACAGGCGTTCTGATGGCAATATAGCGATAAGATTTTTATCAAAAACACGATTAATGTGCACAAATGAAGAATAGTTGTATTAACTATACATTTAAACAGAGTTTTATGGGGCCCCCAGGAACTCGGGGCCTAGGCAACTACCTAGTATTACCTAATGGCAAACCCCCCCCCTGACTGTCGCTACCCAACAGCGGCGACTAATAACAAAGATGGAGCAGGCACTGCGCAACGGAGAAAGAGTTACATGACCAACGGAGCAAAAAGCAATGATCCTCTTTCCGAACAGCACATTTTAAACAAGACGTGCACAAGGAAAAATGGGCTTGTGCATGCTCTCACAAGTGCATATTTTCTTTTTTACTGGAGGGGGCTGGTCTCTTAAAAAATCCAACACAATTGCTTTAATGTTCTCAGGTTGGTTCTATCCTCAAAGTGACAAAAGTTGACATGAGGCACAAGCCATTTCTCAATTCACAACACCAGAAGTATGGACTTGTGATCTCGCCAGGTACGTTCTTGACAACAAAACAGGAAGTATGGACTCAAGGAGAAAGGGAGCATGCAGAACAAATCTGTGACATTTAAAACAGAAGCGTACACGTGCTCATCAGATTCACCTGTTCTTGCTTTCTATTTAAGCCACCTGTTTCCAGCCAGATTATTCGAGCCGAGTGTGAAAGTTTCCTAACTATGTGTGAGTTTCTAATGACCTGATCGGGACTGATTTCAGTCCTTCAACTTCTGAGTTTTTCTTGGCCCTGTTCTGCTCTGCATGCCTGATCTGTTCACAGACTGTTACCTGGATTCTGCCTGCTTCACATTGTCATTAAGGCTCCGGTTGGACCTGTCTTCTGACATCCTATTCTTGGATAGCCTTGGATATCCTCGGACTTCTGATCTTCTGGCCTGGAAACCTGTTCCTGCTTCGACTCTGCCTTGGATTATCCCTCTGGATTCTTCTGCTCCTTTGCGTGCTCTGGCTTCTGTTTGATGGAAGAAGTGGCTCCCACCGCAAGCTACAGAGAAACAATTGCTCCAGACTTCACTCCGTCTTATGGGCTCAGACTAAACTTTACCAGGTTAGTGACCCACACACTCATTAGCATTTCCTGTCTGAGTTCTGAAGTCACTAACCTGAGTGACCGTCTCTATAGAGTATCCAGAGAACCTGTCCCTGCAGCTGCACACTGATTTCTTTAAAGCTGTTTTGAAAATTACCCTAATTTTTCTGCTTCAGTTCTGGGTCCTATGGTCTGAGTTTCTGACAATAATGAAGCCGGGGTTACTTACCCAATGTGCGGCAGTCTGTACATAAATTGCAACACAATTTTGAAGTTTTTTTCTAAATATACTGGTGCAAATATTGACTCCTGGGTAGTAAAAAAACAAGTTGAAAGTTGTCTTTCTTTCTTAGTGAAAATCAGGTCATTATTTAATGGTACGTTTATTAATTTCATATTACATTTAATTATGTCATGAGAAACTTATTCACTTCATTTTGTACCTTTTAAGTCTCCGTAGACAGTGGATTAAATATTTACGTTGATAAAGTTTATGTATATTGTCTTAACTACAGTAAGCTGACAATTTACCATTTATTAGTCAAGGTTTCCTTACATTTATGAAGAGAATCTGAATAGCTGACATCATCTTTGAAGATGAAACTTTAAGACCAACCTGCCGGAGCAGAAGCTCCTGTTCCAGTTTCTCCTGGGCGTTTCTCTTTCTGAGCTCAAGCTCCGTCTGTTGAAGCTGGGGACAGAAGACATAAACCAGCAAACCCAAACAGGCTTCGGTTTAGTCTTTGCTTTACTCCAAGTTAACATTTTGATGGTGAAAAATTCAGGACAAATTTACCTTTTCTGCCTCTGTGATCCTGTTCAGCTTTTCCTGGAAGTCCATCTCTCTCTGCTGTCTTGCCTCTGTTTTCTGCTCATGCTGAGGTTTCTCAGGCTGTGTCTGATGGTCACCTATGTCCAAAGTACGATTGTTCTCTTTCTCCGTATTCCCATCTGTGAAAAGTACATTAAATGTAAAACAAGCACCTTTCAAGATCCCATTCATTTAGCTCCTGGCCTAGCTTCTCTCTTTGGCATGCAAGCAAACTCTCACCTATCTCCCCCACATCTCCTCAATCAGTATCAGTCCCACTCACCCTCTGGCTTATTCCACCATCAGCGTCTGGGCCTGGGGGGGAGACTATTCTAATCCTTTTCTAGGTTACTCATTAAAGCAAATGTTGATTCACAGCATCAAAGTCTTTTGCCAAGGCCAGAGAACAAAGGACTTATTTCACTTATGTCTTTATCTTCTTCTGTCTCCTTGAACCCCAGTGGGCCTCAGCAGATGGCCGCTCACACTGAGCCTGGTTCTGCTGGAGGTTTCTTCCTGTTAAAAGGGACTTTTCCTCTCCACTGTCACTACATACTGTACATGCTCAGTGTGAGGGATTGCAGAGAGTCAATGACTCCTCGCAATCAGATGGTTTTCCTTAGTTCAAAATACCTGCATAAAAAAATGGAATACTTTTCTAATCTCTGTGTGTCTCTCCAGTTTGAAATGGTTAAATTCCACAGAAATGACATTCTAATGTACACAGTGTGCAAAGAATATTTTTGTAAATGTAACTCTGAAAAAAAAGTAAATTTCTATGTTCTAAGATTTCCTTTTTAATTTCTCTATTTATTTTTCAACTTTTTTTTTCAGGATTTATATTGTAATTTTTAATTTCCGTTTTCAGATCAAGTTATACAAATGTAATCCGTTTTGAATTGTGTTTTACAGATAAGATTCGTGTCACTTATCGGCGGGCTGCAAGGACGCAATTCTATTGGTCTGTGTGGACATTTTTCTTTTTTAAACTGTGTGTTTGTTTTAGGGTTGAAGTGAAGAGAATATGATCTGTGAAATGCAATTTGAAAAACAGAAATGTGAAGAAAAAAGTATACACTGCTCCAAAAAACAAAGGGAACCCTTAAATAACTGATCTGAATTAATTAATTATTCTCATTGAATACTTTCCTCTGTACAACCTTGAATATGCAGACAACCCAAAAATAAAATCACACAAAAATCATCAATGTAAAGGTGTGAGTGTGTGTTTGCATGGTTGTATGTCTCTGTGTTTCCCTGCAACAGACCGGTGACCTGTCCAGGGTTTGGCCTGCACATCAATGCCTCTACTCCATGGATGGAAAATATGAAAAGACATTTTTACAAAGAAAATAGAGTAATTTGAAAAAAAAAACAACAAAAAGGTAATCTCAAGGCCTTTTTTATTAAAACATTTTTCAAAGTTTCAATTCTGGATTCCAATTTTTTTAGATTTAAATGTAGAAAGTGTTTTGTTTTTATTTCTTTTCATTAAATGTCTTCTTTCCCTTAATAACTGAATAGATTTCAACCAAAATCTTTGCAGCTTCTAATCAATAAAAGTATCAAATGTATAGATCTGAAATGTTTTCAGGCTTGTCCAGACTGGGATACCTAATGTGAAACATATTAAATATAGGAGGGGGGGCTTTGAAAATACAAAGTTTATCATTGTTTGGTCCTGTGTTTCCCACCAAACAACCTACCGTCATTCTTAGAGTCATTCTTGTCATCAACAGACACACTGGGAATCTGCATAAAAAAACACAAAGTCATGTTTATCAATCCTTTGAAAATTTTTCCTCCAAACTTTGTCATTGAATTATGCCTCAGATATCAGTAATTTAGAACTTACCTTTTCCTTTGATTTCCAGACGCCTTCATTTATTTCAATTGTCAGTTGCATCAAACCATCTTTGAACTCTAAGATTCAGTCCAATAGAAGTAGATATCAGTTCACTTTCTGCCACCATATTAGAAAGTCTTATTACTGATTGAACAGTTTTTTTTTTTTTTGGTAAAAGTTTACCTTCATGTTCCTCCAAGATCAGTTTCTCACAGGCTGCTGCTCGGCTTTTTGAGGTCTCAAAGTAGCGAACCAATGAAGGAGGAATATCACCCAGAGCCTGGAATCAAACAGTTAGTCTGTGAGCTGGAGGCCTTCTCTTTGCTCATTTATTCCAGTTAGAAGTAAAACCAGACAAACATTTTTAATTTGAAGTTAACTGCATGCTACTATAACTGTAACAGAATAGAACATAGTAACGGAGTGATAGAAGTGAAATATTGATTAGTGTTTTTATGAATAAGACCTGAAAAGTATGGCAGGATGTGCAGTTTCATCTTTCTGCCACCGGGAATTCTTCACTCTCATACCATTGATGGTTATCATGAAACTCATTGGTCAAAATAATTTATCTATTTATTTATTAAAATAATGATAAACTTCAAAGTTTGATGCAATCCCAAAACTAAACAGGACTGTTGGGACAGTTATTATTTCCTTTATAAGTTCATTTAGAGAGAGTAGCAAATATTTTAATAATTCAATGCTCAGCGGAGGAAGTGGCTGAGAGGAGGGTGCTGTCCAAGCTTACATCCATCGTGGACAACACCTTCCACCCTCTGCAGCAGACTGGAGAGGAGCTGAGCAGCTCCTTTAATGAAAGATTTTTATACCCTGTTTGTAAAAAGGAGC